GCCTCTGCCTCTTGAGTAATGGGATTAAAAGCATGTGCCACCACCCAGCCTATTAGAAACATTCTTAATTCTGTTTTCTCTTCAGGATTGTGTAAATGTGGAGGTCCTCTTAACAGATGCCTCCTGGGTTCTCACACCAAGTGTCACTCCCTGGAGGCCTCTGTGGGCAGTCCTGTTTTGATGGAATGCATACATGGTTATAGCCATTCTTTATGGAGATTTTACATAAAAATAAGCAAGCATAGCTTCTTTTGAAGAGCCCCAAATCTCTGGTAACATCAAGTTAGTGTGCTGGTGAGCAGCTTCTCCAGCCACTTCCCATCAGAGCCCACAGTGTGTTTGGGGCAGTGGGGAGGGAGGGAAGACCCGGAAGCATTTGAGACTGGAAGCTTTCCAGTGTTTCCAAATCTCCTCCCTGTCTATCCTGTGTCCTTGCCCAGTGCACAGAGCCTCAGGTCCATTGCAGATTGGATTACGCACCATCCCTCACTTCTTAGCTTGGGCCACATGAAATCCTTCTGCAGGCCCTCCCTCCCTGCTACCTTGGTGGTGTGTCTGTCTACTGCTCAGCCAGCCAATGACAGCTAGTAGTGAACAAACACTGCCTCCTCCAGGAGGCCCCCGTGGATTCCACCAGGTGTATAAAACCTCCCCGTTCTTTTTTTTTTTTTTTTTTTTGGTATGGAAATTTTTATTTTATTTTTATTTTTATTTTGCAATACAATTCAGTTCTACATATCAGCCACGGATTCCCTTGTTCTCCCCCCTCCCGTCCCCCTCACCTTCCCCCCAGCCCCAACCTCCCCGTTCTTATTCCCAGCTCGCTGCTCTGTTCACAGCCCCGGACTTGGAGCCCCTGGTCGCTGCTTCAGACTTTGCCAAAGGCTGAAGTGGAGAGTTGATTCCCATGTGCAGTTAGTCTGAGAGTCCCAAGGGAAGGAAGTTCTTTAACTTGTCTTTGAATGTCCTGTCCCCATGCTTGGGAAGAGATGGGCATGGACAGGATGCCACAGGATCTGTGTTCCTTGCAGATTCTGACGGTTCCCCACGTGAAGCTCAGCTGGCCTTTCAGTCCTTCAGGTTTTGAATGGGGACTTCTGTGTCATGGTGCAGAAGCTGGGCAAGCCCAGAATGTTCTTGCCTTGGCCATGTTATGCAAATGAAGTGCACCAGCTCGCCCACCTCACTGTGTCCCCATGTGCTTCCACAGGCCCTCAGACCAGGGTCCTCTATCACAAAGAGGCACAGACTGCCTAGCTATTGTCTTCTTTCTCCTTTTCACTGTAATGACAGCAGTTTTTATACATTTTAAAAGAAAACACACACGCGCGCACACACACACACACACACACACGCACACACACGCGCACACACACACGCACACACACGCGCACACACACACACACACACGCACACGCACACGCACACACATGCACACACACCTCTGGAGGCCAGCAATATGGCTCAGTGGATGAAGATGCTTGCCACCAAGCCTGACAACTTGAGTTCAGTCTCTGAGATCCACATTGTGGGAGGAAAGACCTGGCTCCTGAAAGCTGTCCTCTGACCTCCACAGGCATGCTGCGACATGTGTCACCTGTACTCACACACACTAAATACATGAATGAATAGATATAATACAAAGTTGGCTTCCCAGCTTCCCATGTAACTAGAAGTAGCCAACAAAATGGGGCCAGAAGCCAGGCGGCGGTGGCGCACGCCTTTAATCCCAGTACTCAGGAGGCAGAGGCAGGCGGATCTCTCTGAGTTCGAGGCCAGCCTGGTCTACAGAGCGAGATCCAGGACAGGCACCAAAACTACACAGAAAAACCCTGTCTTGAAAAACAAAAACAAAACCAAAAACCAAAACAAAACCAAACAAAATGGAGGCAGAAATCATTGCTTTCGCACCCAGAGCAGCTTCTAAGGGGTCCAGTTCACCAGAGGGTAGAGACTGTGCTACTTCCCCCTCCTCCTCCCTTCAGTCTAGAGCTCCACCATGGTGGCTGGATTTTGAGCAGCCATCCTGTGACCATAAGGCAACCTTGAAACCATCAGACCATGCTTAGTGTGGGTGACCAGAAAGGAGGTGGGACTGGATGACACTGTGGAGCTGCTCACCGCCCCTAGAAGGCCCTGGTGGCTTTTATGTCCCAAGCCACTTGCAGACACCATGCAGTACTGAGTATCAGCTACAGTCCTGACAAGAGTCAAAACGGCTCCCTCGATCCAGGCCCCGGGCCAGGTGCTTATGATACACCATACCCCAGACTCACAATACCACACAAGGCAGGATTACTGCTCACACGAGGGAATTTGGACTAGAGACTAATGGAGGATTTGCCAAAGCCACGCAGCCAATGACCAATAAGCTTGGTCCCAGAGCCAGACCTATTCGACCCCAAAGCCTATGTCCTTCCTTCCGCCCAACGCCGCTCCCCGCCCCCCGAAACTAAAGCAATGCCCTTCTCAAGCCATCCTAGGACTTCAGGTTTGCTAAAGTGGCTGGCAACAGTGGCCACCTAGACATGGGTTTACCGTCTTACCAAGACCGGAAGGTTGGTAGCAGTCTCCATAAACTGCATCTGGAGAAGCCTTTAGCAAAATGTGGCTTACAACTCACGGAGCCCAATTATTTGCTTTAGTGAAGAAGAGTGTGGCTTTGAGGTGCAGGGTAAGGTGTTAAAACTAACGACAAGAGGTGACAGCAGGGCCAAGGGCTGTCAGAGACTTCTTTCTGAGGTGGCTATGCCACAGAGAACTGCAAATGAGCAGCTCCCTGCTGTACCAGATCACGGTTGCTGAAGAGATCTAGGGTCATCTGCTCGGCATGGCTGTCAGGTTTGTACCAGACCTGTGCAGGCCCGGGCTCGCTCTCTCTCTCCTCTCTCTCTCTCTCTCTCTCTCTCTCTCTCTCTCTCTCTCTCTCTCTCTCTCTCTCTCCTCTCTCCTCTCTCCTCTCTCCTCTCTCCTCTCTCCTCTCTCTCTCTCCCCTCCCTCTGTGTGTGTTTGAATTTATAGAAATATATGTAAAAGTTCGTGACATTCTTTAACCATTGTAGAAAGTAACTAGCATTTATTAATCACTTACCATATACTAGGTGTTTCCCTGTGGTCCTGATTAATTCTATACACAACACACACACATGCACACACACACATGCACACACACATGCGCGCACACACACACACACACCCCTATGGCCTGTGTGGCTGCATTCCACTCTATAGGCTAAGACCCCCAGGTCCAGGGTAGTCATGAACTCACCTGGGTCGCCCCCCAAAGTGTTCCAAAGGGAGGAGGCAATGAATGAACCCTCAAAGATGGGCAGTAAGAGAAAACTGATTACTTTGTAGGCTACAGAAAAGCCTCTCTCCTAGTTTATGTTTTACTTTTAAAATTCATGCAAGTTTTGTATAGCACACACTATAAGCATGCTATTTTAATATTAGAACAACTGCACTGTATGATTTATCAGACTAATTATTAAATTTTTCACTCCAGAAACTCAGTGTGGAATGACATGCCTTTGTGAATTAAGCCTCAGCCAGGAGAATGCATGTTAAACACAGGCTGGTCAGACACCCACGAGCAATCACGACTAAGTGTTGACGGACCTGGTTCTAGGTCAGAGTCCGCAGTTGGAATCTGGTTGAGGAAGTCCCCTATTCCAGTCTCACTCTGTTGCTGTGATGAAACACTTGGACCAGAAGCAGCTTAGCAGGAGAAAGGATTTGTTTGGCTTATACTTCCAGGTCATGGTCCATCTTTGAGGGCAGAAACTCAAGGAGGTACTTGAAGCAGAAAACATGGAGGAATGCTACTTGTTGGTTTGCTGGCTGGCTGGCTGGTTCACAGATTCCTGCTCAGCTAGCTTTCTTGTGCAACCTAGGACTACCTGCCTCGAGAAGGCACCCCTACAGTGTGCCGGGCCCTCCTGTGCAGGTCAATACTTCAGACACCCTCACAGACATGCCTACAGGCCAGTCTGATTCAGACTTCCCTCCAAGTGACAACACTAACGAGGATATCCCCTGAGGATTCATGTGTGGAGGCATGGACCTCAGTATGCTGTTACTCAGGGGTGGCATCTTTAGGAGGCAGAGCTTGTCAAAGGTCTTTGGGTCATTGGGCATGAGCCCCTGGAGAATACTAGTGGGACCCGGAATTGTTATAAGAATGAGGCTAACTCCAGTTTGCTCTGATCATCTCTGGACATGATCTTTCTCCTGAACATGCCTCCCTGTGATATCATCTGCCATCAGACTCTTAACAAAGACCTACCTAACGGCGCTGCCCAATCTTAGACTTTAAGTTGCTAACTTAAACTACTGTGAGCTAAGTGAACCCATTTTTTTTTAATAAGGTTATCCAGCTTCAGGTATCCTGTCATAACAACAATAAAAAATGACCACTGTGTAGTTCACAATTATTTTGGGTGTGTGCATATGTGTGGATGGGTTCAAACACCCACACATGTGTATTTGGAGACCAGAGGTAGATTTTGAGTGTCTTCCTCTACTATACTCCACCTTATATTTTGAGACAGGCTCTTCACTGAACCTGGAATTTTGCTCTTTTCTGTAATGGCTTGCCAGCAAGCTCTTATCTTGCCCTGTCCACCATTCCTGGTACTGGAATTACTACTGCATGCTGCCATGCCTGGCTTTCATGTGGGTGCCAGGGATCTGAACTCAGGTCCTCATTCTTAAGCATCAAGTGCATTACTATTGAATTACCTCCCTCAGCCCCACAATTGCTTGTTTTAATAATGAACCTACAATTTAAATGTCATGATCAGAACATTCATTAACTCATTTGACAAGAGTCTACAATATGCCAGGATCAGTGCCAACCCTGAGGTGAATATAGCTTCAAATAGGGCACCAGTTCAATACTATGGTCTCCTAAGAGCAGTCAAGGGCCACATGGCACTCAGCTGAGTGACCGGACTCCACCCTCTCCAAAGCTCAAGAGAGAGGAAGCTGATCTCACTAACCTTATGAAGGTCCGAAAGCCAGTCGGTCCCAACTTCATTGTCCCCTTGATTCCCAGGAAACGGATAAACAAATTAGCCATCCTGTCTACCAGGCGCAGGTAGTTGAACTGCTTGGCATACTTGGGGAACACCTGCTTGAGGCAAATAGAGGGCAGGTGGGCTTCAGGGTTGGAGTCGGGGTCACCGGTCATCTCACAGTCCAGATCTTCCTTCCCAGTGATAGGCTTTTCGGGATGCTGAGACCTGAAATACACAAGGCACTCATGACATGATGCCTTCCTCCAATGGCTTCCTTCCCTTGAGATGTACAGTAGCTCCAGGGGATTGGTGTTATAGACTAGAAAACTGACCTTCGAAAAGTGGCCTGTCGAGGCTCACACAGCTTCTGTATGGTGAAGCCAAGGCTTAAACCCAGGCCAGAGCCAGGACTGGAAACACAGGTTTCCTCCATCCTGCCAGCCCGGCTTTGCTCTGCTCACAATTCAAGGGAATACTCCATTGTGAGCAGTCTGGATTTGATATCAAACTCCTACTTATGGGTAGTAATTGAATAATTAAGAAATGGAAAAAAATCTCACTGAGGGTTGGCAAGAAGCCACAGGTGCAGTTCAGTGAACAACTTGAGGAGATGCTTCCATTCCCAGCCCTAGGAACACAGACAGTTTCCTGCCTTAACTGTTTATTTGGAGCTCATACAGAAAATGACAAGTTTTGTGACTCCATAGCCTGTGCGTGTTATTCTGAAATTATTCTGATAATCAAGAAAATGATTTATCTATCTACCTCTAGCTGGAAATAGTCTCAGTTTCTTCTTGCCTCCAGCATGACACAGCCCTTCCCCCACCCAGAGTCTGTCCTATCTCCTTGGTATTTACATCTCCTTGGTATTTCACTACCAGATGTCTGCCAGTCACCCAGGTGGGAAAAATCAGAATAAATGCCAACTCTTTCTCTGTCTCCATAGTCAATGCTATATCACTATAGCCCCCAAATCAGCTCTCACAGGCCAGTGTTCTCCCTTGCTGGGAAGAGACTCCATGACCACAGCAACCTTTATACAGGAAAACATTTAACTGGTGCTGGCTTATAGTTCAGAGGTTTAGTCCATTATTATCATGGGGTGGGGTGGGGGAGGCATGACGGCACACAGGCAGACATGGTGCTGGAGGAGGAGCTGAGAGTCCTACATCCAGATCAGCAGGCAGCAGGAAGACAGAGAGCGCCACTGGGCCTGGTTTGGGCTTCTGAGACATCAAAACCCACCCGGAGTGACACACTTCTCCAACAAGTCCACACCTCCTAATAGTGCCACCCCCTATGGGGGCCATTTTAATTCAAACCATAATACAATGCAACAAATTTAATGAAAGTTGCCTCCCATTCTCTGCTCCCAGGAGCCTAATACACACCACATCCTATATACATGAGTTTCCTGGGATGTGGCTCACAGAACACTGAGGGGCTGATCTGTGAACCACTGAAGTATGTGGGAAACAGAGAGACATGTCCGAGGAACAGAATGGGATGTGAAAGAATGTCATTGGTGTGGCCAAAGAGACATCTTGAGGTGGAGGTAGTGTAGTATAGAAATGTGCCACACAGCCAGGGCCAGGGAGAAGCAGGTATGGGGACACCATGATGGTCTAGTGTAGGGACTACTGGAAGTGGGAATGTTGACACGAGGCTGTTTAAGGAAAGGGTCACAAGAAGCCATATTGAGTTTAACACCATGCGATGTGTGTTGAACACATCTTATGTTTTGGTTTAGATGGGACTTATTGACCATGCGCAGTGTGTTCAGGACTTGGTCTTAGGAGTGATGACAGCAGGTGGCAGTGGTTTTCTGTGGACCTGGTTCTGGGTGGGACAGGAGCCAAGAAAGGGTGGAGTTTGAAGGAGAGAGAAGCACTGAATGAGGACTCTTGGGCGCCGGGCCAGACCAATGGACAGCAGTGTAGAGGGCGACACTCAAAGCCTGGAGGAGAATGTGTGCCCAGCCAGTGAGGAGCTAGAAACAAGGAGGTCTGGGAAAAAACACAAGCGGCAGGATGAGGCCCTTGTGAAGAGGTGGGCATCTCAGACAAGGCTGGAGAGGAAGTAGCCCAATCAGGTTGCCACGGGGACAAGCATGGTGGCATATGCCCATAATCCCAGCACTTGGGAGAAAGCAACAGGAGAATTGCAAATTCTAGCGCAGCCTGGGCTACATGGTAAATTTAGGGCCAGCCAGAGGTACATAGTGAGACCTTGTCTCAAAACTGAAAATAAATAAAACAAAAGCCACTCAGGTGCCAGAATGGAGAATGGGAAGGGCAAACCCAGAAACATGGTGTGATGGTTTGAGTTAAAATGGCCCCCATAGGGGGTGGCACTATTAGGAGGTGTGCACTTGTTGGAGGAAGTGTGTCACTCCGGGTGGGTTTTGATGTCTCCGAAGCCCAAACCAGGCCCAGTGGTACTCTCTCTCTTCCTGCTGCCTGCTGATCTGGATGTAGGACTCTCAGCTCCTCCTTCAGCACCATGTCAGCCTGTGTGCCATCATGCCTCCCCCACCCCACACCATAATGATAATGGACTAAACCTCTGAACTATAAGCCAGCACCAATTAAATGTTTTCCTGTATAAGAGTTGGAGTGGTCATGGTGTCTCTTCGTAGCAATAGAACCCTGACTAAGACATTGGGAAAGTTTGCTTCTAATAATGACATAAATGGACAGGAAGAGTCTCAAAGCCATGATGTTTCTTATCCCATAAGTCCCTGGGAATGGGAAAGAAACTTGAGAGACAAACATTGTGGTGGAAAGCTCTGCCCAAATGGTCCCCTTCTCATACCAGCCCAAGGAGCCAACTTCCAGGGAAGACATGAGTAGAAAGTTCCAGAAGGCCTGGTCACAGTTTCTTTCAAGTAGATCCTAACTTTGCACTCAAAGCAAAGACTGGCAGGGGAACAGAACCAGGCATCATGAAGGAAAATCTCTTTCAATGTTCAATGGCATGGAGGGTCTGGGCTGCAAAACACTCCCTCCTGCACGTGCAGACCCAGTTCCTCAGAAGAGGTGAGTATTCCCTAGGACGTGCAATTTTCCTTCAGCAGAAATGGCTTTCTCACCATCACCTTGAACTTCAGACAGTAAATAAAAGCCAGGTGGTTATTTTTCACACGAAATGAAGTGTTTTCTCCATGACAGTTGTAGGAAGAAAAATGGGGGCGGCGGGTAAACTGACACTCTTACCAGAAATTAGCTCCTAAATTTCTGAATAAGTGGTGGTGGCTGACATTATAAGCACTCAGGAAATTTCATTAAGGGGGAGACTGGGCGGTGTGCAGTGTGAAGGCATGGAGGGATGGAGACAGCTCAGGGGACCACTCAGTCAACAAACCCGCCTCCAGGGTGTCATCTCATCTGCTCTCCATGCACCTCTGTGGAGGAGCCTGTGACTACAGCCCTGCTCCAGATGGGGAGACTGAGGTCAAGCATGGCATAATATCTCTGAATAAACCAGAATTATAAAGCAGTTCTCCAAACAGTTCTCTAGCACTCTTGTTTTCCTAAAACCTTGTTCTAAAGCACATCATGGTTCATACTGGGGACACAAAATTCTGAATACTATTGTTTAATTTTTAAAAACATTAAAAATATCAATTGCCTTTAATATCTATCTATCTATCTATCTATCTATCTATCTATCTATCTATCTATCATCTATCTATTTTCTTTGATTTTTTTTAAGAGCAAGGTCTCATGTAGTCCAAGCTGAGGGTGATCTTGAACCTCTGATCCTCTTGCCTCCACCTCCCCACTGCTGGATTACAGGTGTGCACTACCACATCCAGTTTTATGTGGTGCTGGGGATGAAACACAGGACCTTCTGCATGGGAGGCAGGCACTCTGCCCAACTGCGCCATATCTTCAGCTGGGAGCTTTATGTTTCAGATTATAAATGTTACTTCAGTTCTTTGTAGATCTTTAGAGGGAAGTGTGAAAGAACCAAAATGGTTTCTAATCCCTTAGCTTGAATAGAGACACCAATAGTGTGTTTAGAGTTAGGATGTTTAATTCTGTTGCATGTTTCTTATGGACATACACACAATCTGAATGAAGCCTCAGCTATAATGAAGTTAATATTCCTCCTCAGTTAGAGATCTAATGGCCGCATGATTTGTCATCTGCCTGAACAGAACCCCGTGTTTGGCCTCCTCCCGGGATGAGGTGGCTCCTCTCCCAAACACAGATGTTACGGTGTTAACTGCAAGTGGCTTTGGAAATATTCTATCCAGAAAGATTTTTGTTGTTGTTGTTCTTGTGCGAAACATACATAAAAGCCACCATTTAAACCATTTTAAAGTGTACAGTTCAGTGGTTTCAGGTCTTTCATGAGGTTTTATCACTGCCATCTAGTTCTAGAACATTTCACAAGAGTGTCATTTCAGAGAAGAAATTTTAACCTAGGTAGACAGGATTGGAGCTATGTAGCAGCAGGCTGTTTAAAACAGCAATAGTCCAGGTGGCCATCTTAGATTGGACTGCCATGATAATGGGGACCTCATCAGCTCCATCCAGCACACTCAGACTAGACAGATCTTCCTCAGGTCACCCTGGAGGATGAGGATGCCGTCTCCCGGAGACTCCTGTCTATTGCTGCCCAGCATGCACCTGTCACTACTCCTCCAAGACTTCTGTACCTCCAATGGCTGCCCTCCCAGACACCAGTGTCCCTCACAGACCTCAGATCCACAGCTTCTGAGGGAAGTGGTTTTCTTCACCTGGAAGTACTAAAGATGCAGCTGATGTATAAGAGGAAATAAAAGGATGAAGGATGGCATCTTTGCTGGAGATAATTGCAATTATCACACCAAGACCCAAGCCATCACAAATACTGTAAAAATCCCGTTTTTACTTAATAGCATTTTAATAGAAATGTCAGGCTTTTGGAATAAAAGTGACTGCTAAAGAAACCATAAATCAAGTTTACTAGTCATTTGGGATCGTTTCTGGAAAAAAATTGAATTTGGTATATCCTTGATTCATTAAAACAGGGGAAAGGATCCTGGAATGTTTTTATCTATTATCATTTTTCAAACAAAGTGGAATTCTTTTTCATTAAAACTCGTGTGAGCCGGGCGGTGGTGGCACACGCCTTTAATCCCAGCACTTGGGAGGCAGAGCCAGGCGGATCTCTGTGAGTTTGAGGCCAGCCTGGGCTACCGAGTGAGTTCCAGAAAAGGCGCAAAGATACACAGA